TCCCAGTCCTCTGAGCGACCGGAAATGACGGTCTCTAGTTGTGCTCAGTGCACCCATCCATCTTGCTGTCTTTGGGGGTTACTCTTAAAATCTAGTGCGTCCAGAATCAGGGGTACCCTGAGTTTTCATAATTCCTGCAGCCCGGTCATCCCAAAGCACTGTCAAAACGCGGACTTAACCCTACGCCTAAACCCCTAAACTGCCGTTTTCAGGCGGTGCACTACTTGTGGCCGCCTGACACCGGGCAGTCGTCGAGCTGCTGAGAGCCGCACGGAGGATTCCGCGACAGATGGGGTGCCCATGCCTAGGGGTAGGAAGACATACACGACTCTGACTGGCGTTTTGGGACGTTCTGTTGGAGCGGGTAATGAGAGAGACGCGGAGATCTAGGAGGCGGAGAGGGTGGCAGCTAGAGCAGTTGGCCGTCATGTCGTGTCTGCACCACAGCATCCAGGGGAAGGAGAGGAGACGGCGGCGAAGGTGCCACAAAGGCGGCGAGAGCGCATGATCGACGATGACGACACAGACGGCGGGCAGTGCGATGCGCCGTAGACTAGGACTTCGATTTCGTGCCGATGATGTTTGTGTGTATCTTTCTTCATTTAGAGTTTCACAAGTTTCGTTCTTCTTCTTGCTTTTTTGTTTTTTTTTTATAGTTATTCTTCTTTTATAATATTTCCTCTTGTTTTTTTTTGTTTTTTTTTTCATATTGACACTACTGTGCGACTTCGTGCTTCCACGGAGATTTCATGTATTTTACCATGCTTCCACTTCTTTTACTTACTTTGGTTACTCCATATTTTCATTGTTTAGTTTTTTTCGTACCATGGCTTTTGTGTTTGTGTATTTTGGTTTGTTGTACTGTCTTCATTGAGGTAACCATGCGGGAATGTCTGGGGAGCGGTAACATGTCTGGGGGGGGGTGCGGGAATGTCTAGGGAGCGGTAACATGGGTTTACAGAGGGGTATGTGGGAATGTGGGAGGAGGGGTTACGTGGCTTTAATGACGGTATTGAGGGGTATCTGGGAATGTGGGGGGGGAGGTGTTGGGGGTTTGGTGCGTCGGTGGCACATGGTGAGGGGTGTAGGTGGCACTGGGGGATTCGGGCTCGACGCGTGGTAAGGGTCGGGATCGTGCTTTGGGCATG